CGCCGGCTGGGCGCCGCCACATCACGTGGCACATCCCAGCCCGTGATGCACACACACACACTCTGACGCCTCCCACACACCCACCCACCCCACGCCCCCCCCACACACGCAGGTGCACACCGGCATGGCGGAGCAGGCGTTCAAGCAGCAGGTGCAGGGGGTGCTGGGGGACGGCATGCTGACGCCCGACCGCGCGGCGGCGCTGGAGAAGATGCGGGAGCAGGTGGGTTGGGGTTTAGGGTTTGGGTGTGGGCTGTGGGCTGTGCGGCCTCCCGCGCTGCCCTCCCGCCCTGCTGCCCTCCCGCCCTGCTGGCCTCCAGCCCTGCTTCTCGCTGCCGTCGCGGCCCTTGCTTCCCTTGCGGCCCTCCCGTCTGAGTGCCCACCCACGCCTGTCACCTGCTGCCCCACCTCCCTCCCTCCCTCTCCCTCCACCCGCCGCAGATGGGCCTGCCCCGGGAGAATGCCGACAAGATCATCCGCGGCTTCACCAACCAGAAGGCGATTGCGGGCATGCAGGTGGGGCTGCAGGGTGGACTATCGCGGCAGGCAGGCAGGCAGGCAGGCAGGCTGCCCTCCCGCCCCGGCCGTGCGCCTCTCCCTTGAGCCCACCTGCTGCTGTACCCTGCTGTGCCGCTGCCTGCCTGCCTGCCTGCCTGCGCAGTCGCTCAAGGCACAGGGGCGGCTCACTCTGGATAAAGTACTGGAGATTAAGGAGGCCGGGGTGGATGTGGCCAGCCTGCTCGGGGAGGATGCGCGGGCGCAGCTGTACCGCACGGAGGTGCGACCGCCGGTACCGCATCGGCGGTACCGCATCGCCGCCGCCGCCACCTGCCTTCCCTCTGCTGATGTCGCCACCGTGGGGGCAGCTGCCCGGCAACCGCGCCGGCGCCCTGGGGCGCGCAAACGCGGCGGCGTGTGTGGGGCCAGAGCCGCCCAGCCGCCGCCGCTGCGTCGTACGCCACCCCCGGCCAGCCGCCCACCCGCCGGCCTGACCGCGCCGCCGTCCGCGCGCGCACGGTCCCGCAGGTTGTGGAGCGGCTGAGCGACGGTACCGGCGACTTCTCGGCGGAGCGCATGCTGCGGCAGCTACCCGAGGAGCTGGGCATCGATGCGGAGAAGGCGGCCAGGACGGTGGCTGAGCTGGGCGGGGAGCGCAAGCGCACGACCCTGGTGCAGGTGGGCGCGGGGGGTGGGTGCCTGTGCTTGCTTGTTTGATTGTGTGTGTGCGTGCGTGTGTGTCTATGGCTGCGGCTGGGCGTGTGTGGAGGGGAGAGAGGGTGCGGCTGTGTGTGCGTGTCCTGAGCTGGCTGGCAGGCTGGCTGGCTGGCGACGGCACCTGGCGGCGCGGCCACGGCGCCGGGCCGGGCCGCCCCTCCTTCCACTGCCCGGCGGCCAGCCCCTTTGCTTGCCTGGCAGCGCTCGCCGCTGCCTGCCGCTCCCCTCACGCCGCCACCTGCCCCTCCTGTGCCCCCTCCCCTCCCCTCCACCACCACCACCCGCGGATCCCCCCTCACACTGTTCCCTGTATTCCTTTGAACCTCTCGTTCCCTTCCCCTCGCACCGCTCTTCCCTCACACCGCTCTTCCCCTGGGCTCCCATCCCTTCCCTTCAGGCCATCTCTTTCTTGCGCCAGAAGAAGGTGGGCGAGGCGGCCAAGGCGCTGAACAACCTGGTGTCCTGCGAGGCGGCGGTACCGTCGGATACCCCCGCCGACTGGCAGGAACGCGAGGAGCTGGCCGACCTGTTCTCCGCCTACGTGTCCAAGGTGGGGTGGAAAGCGCGGCGGGGTGGAAAGCGCGGGCGGGGCGGGGCGGGGGCAGCAACCCAGCGGGGGCAGCAGAGCGCGGGGTAAGCAAACACGCGGCACGGGGGAACAGAGCAGAGAAGGGGAGCGGGGGTGGGGTGGGTGGGTTGAAGTGGGTGGAGCGGCGGCCCGCTGCCAGCTGCCTGTTCCCTCGCATCCCCTTCTTCATCCCCTCCTCTTGCTTCTTCTTCTTCTGCCCAGTGTGGCTCAGCTCCCCGCCCCCCGCCCCGGCCCGCCCCCCAGCCGGGGCTGGACCCCCTGCCGCACCGCTCTTCTTCACCGTGATTGGTGTGGCCCCGCCCCGCACCGCCTACGCCCTGCAGGAGCCTTCCCCTGAGAAGCAAGCGGTGGTGCAGAAGATTCTGGGGCTGGGCGACGGCGAGGCCGACGCGCTGCGCTCCATCGTGGAGGCCGGCGGATTCAAGGTAGCGGCTGAGGAGGCGGAGGAGGCGGCCTTCTTCTGAGGCCCTTTCTTTTCCGAGGCGTTCTTCTGAGGCGTTCTTCCAAGGCCTTTGTTTCCGATGCCCGGCTAAGGCGCCGCCCGCCCGCCGCGGATTTGTGCGCACGCCGCGCGCCCCACGCCCCACGCCCCCATTTCATTGCTCCCGCTCCCATGCTCGCTGCCTCCTTCAAGTTTCCTCCCTCCTTCCCGTTTGCCACCATTTGTGGCGGAGAGCCCGGCGCTGTGCCGCACGCGGAGGCAGACGGTGACGCGCGCCGCGTGCCCACGCACTCCATCCGCGCGCAGTTTTTTACATAGTAACTTCCTCGTCAGCACAAGTCAGATCAGGGCAACTGGGTCGTTGGGAAATGTGCAGGAAGGGGGCAAGCCGCACCGCCGGGTGCGCATTTCGCCGCACTGGTCCAAGTATCTCCTCCTGGCGCTCTGATCGCTCAGTTATCCTCCTTTTCAATCTTCAGTTCTTCCCACTAGTTCATTGTGCACCAAACAATCAGTTTCCCTCGTTGTGAGCTTTCGCACAGTTGGAGGAGCAACGGGGCGGCGCAGGGGCCTGGATGGCGGCAGCAGCTGCGCCAGATGAGGATAAATACGTGCTGGGGAAGCAAGGAGAGAAGCGGATGAAGGGGCGCACCATCACCGTGCCGGTCGTCACGGGCACCTGCGCCTTCTACCTCGGCAAAAAGGCGAGCTGGGAGCGCGCCGGGAGGCCAGCGCCAGGCCCCGGGCGGGAGGAGCGGCCCTGCCGCCGCCCGCCGCCTGCCGCCCGCCTGCCAAAGCTCAGGCGCCGTGTCTGGCGGGCCGCGGCCCAGCCAGCTCTCCAGCCTTACCCAGCACAGCCGCCAACGGGCACCCCGCAGCGCAGCGGCACGGCCGGAGCCCGGCGTGCCGAGTTGGCGCCCCAGCCGGCCGCCGCCGCCGCCTCCCGCTGCTGAGCAACTTTCTTCAAGTCACTGTGTTACCTTCCTGTTTTTTACCTTCCGCCCCGCACCCATTCCATTCGCAGGCCAGCGAGTATCAGAGCCACAAGTGGACTGTGTACATGCGCAGCCCCAGCAACGAAGACCTGAGCCATGTCCTGAAGAAGGTGCGACGGCAGCGGGGTGGCGGGGCGGGGCCGCGGCGGCACGCGTGCCTGCCGGGCCGGGCCGGCCGCCGCCTGGAACCAGCACAGCCAAGGGCTGACGCGGCTGGGAAGGATTGCAGCGGATCGGGCTGACAGACACGCTGCTAGCGTGGCTGCCAGCTCAGGACGCTCCTCCCCACGGCAGCGCCGCCTGCCCGCCTCTCTTTGCCACACACAGGCCGCCTTCCTCACCCAATCTGTGGATATTGTTTTATAATAATAACTTAAATAAAAACTAAAATACGAAGCATGCGGTCCCGCAGGTCACCTTTGGGCTGCACGAGAGCTTCCAGAACCCCAAGCGGGACGTCGAGTTCCCGCCTTACGAGCTCACAGAGACGGGGTGGGGCGAGTTTGACATCGTCGTCACCCTGCACTTCAGGGTGCGGCGCCGCCGCCCGCAGCTGTGGCCCGCATTCCGTTGCCCGTAGCTGTTGTGCCTGCAGCGGTTGCCCGCAGGGGTGGCCAGCAGCGGTGGCCCGACGGCAGGCGGCGGCACGCAGCCGGCAGCCCGCCCCCTGCAACGGCAGGCCCTGCACAGGCCCGACGCTGCTCACCGCGCCGGCTCCTGCCTGCCTGCCTGCCTGCCTTCGTCTGCCTGCGGCGTGGCTGCTGGTCCCGGCTCTGCATGCGCGGCGGCCTCGCCTGCCCTCGGGCCACCCGGCCGGCCGGCTGAGCGGCGGTGTGTGGGGGTCATCGCTCATGGTTCCTCGCACCCAATCAGGCCACCCCCTTGCGCCGCTGCCCCTTGCTTTCCTCCCCCATGGTACCGGCAGGAGGACATCCAGGAGGCGCCTGTGGAGCTGTACCACCGCCTGAAGCTGTACGACGATACCGGGGCGGCAAACCCCAAGAAGCCGGTGGGAAGATGGGGTGTGGGGGAGGGGGGGACACAGGGCCTGCTGAGGCTTGCCGGTGGCTGCCTGGCTGGGGGAGTTTCGGGAGGGTGTGTGGCAGGCCCGCCAGGCAGCCAGACGTTTGGCTGGCTGCCAGGCTGTGGGGGGCGGCTGGCCGGCGTGCCCACGCGGCCGCCACTCCTGGCCGGCTTCCCTTACTGGCTGGCATGGCCGGCGCATAGCCGCTGCCTGCTGCCTCCGGTTCCACACTGGCCCGCCGCGCTCAAGCGAGGGCCTCGCCCCTTTCCAGTTTTTTTCTGGCCAGCGGGCCAGCCCTTCTTTCTTTAGCGGGCCAGCCCTTCTTTCTTTCTTTGCTTTCATCACTTACGTTTTCTTTCCAGGACGGACCCGCTGCATGTTGCCTGAGGCCCTGACGTGCCTCCCCCCCACACATGCACCCCTCCTGTGGTGCAGGTTGTGCTGGAGATTTATGACGAAGTGGTCTTCTGGCAGCCCACCGAGGCTTTCTTCAGCCGCATGGCGACGCACACAGCGCGCCCCGCACCCCCCTCGCAGCTCGCGCAATTTTACACGGCCTTTGCGCCAGACAGCGAGTACCAGCGCATCCAGCGGGCGCGGCAGCGGCTGGCCCAGATCCGGGCCAACGTGGAGGGCACGGCGGCGGCGCTGGAGGCGCAGGAGGCGGCTGGGATGTACGTGGGCGCGTGAGGCGGCGCCTGCGCTGCGGGCCTCGGGTGCCGCCCAGGCGGTTGAATGCACGGCCGCCGGTGGGCCGCTGGATCATGTAACCCTGCAGGCAGGCTAACCCCGCAGGCAGGCGTCAGGGAGGCGCGTGCGTCCTGTTTCCAGTGATTGGCGTCGGCCGGCGGCGGCGACGGCGAAGGCGATGGATGGCGGGACGTGGCAGGCGTACTGGTCACGGGCTGCCCTGTCTTCGTTGCCGCATGCGCCTCTTGTTCCGTTGATTCTCATTGAAGTTGCACAGCAGAGGGGAAGCAGACCTGTCGCAACGCACGTTCATTCATCTCTGTTGTCCCCCGAGGGCCGTGCTTCAAGCGCTTGTGAGGCAGCACAGCGCTGGCTAGCTAGCGATGGCCGGCTTTGGGCAGACGCCAGGCGGGGTGAGTCTGTCTGTCCATGCGATCACCCGACTGTGGCTCTGCGCAGGCTGCTGCTGTCCCTGTCCCACCCTGCAATCTGTTTCGGGCGGCGCCGATGCCGCCGCAGGGCTTCTCCTTCTCCAGCACTCCCGCCTTTGGCGCCTCCGCCTCTGCCGCCGCCAACCTCCCCAAGGCTGCCTCCACCCCGCTGTTTGGCGCCACGCCGGCCGCCACGCCCACGTTCGGCGCAGCCTCCACGCCCGCGTTTGGCGCAGCCTCCACGCCCGCGTTCGGGGCAGCCTCCACCCCATGTGAGTGCACGCGCCGAGCTGCGGTGCTGTGGGCGTAGGCAGGGATTGCGCTGCTGCCGCCTGCACACGGCACACGCCTGCACGCGCGGCGCCGCCCCTCTGCACACCACGCCAGCTAGTCCAACCCTGTGTCCTCCCCTGTCCCTCCCCCTGCCGCAGCCCTGTTTGGAGCCCCCACCGCAGCAGCCTCCCCCTTCTCCTTCTCCACCTCCCAGCCAGCGCAGACGGCACCGTCGCTGTTTGGCAGCGCACCAGCCGCCACCGCGCCGTCGCTGTTTGGAGCGTCGCCGGCCGCCACCACGGCGCCGTCGCTGTTTGGGGCAGCGCCGGCCGCCGCCGCCGCCTCGCCGTTTGGCGGCGTCGGCGGGCTGTGGGGCACAGCGCAGCCGCCGCAGCAGGCGCAGCAGCAGCCGGGCGCGGCGGCGGCGCTGGGTTTCGCCGGCGCCGCGCCGCCGCCCGCGCCCGACCTTTCGGCCATCCGCGAGCTGGAAAGCATCAAGGACAGCTACGTGGCGGGTGCCGGGAACCCGCGGTACCGCTTCCAGCACCTGCTGCTCAACGTCGTCGACAATCCGGCAGCCAGGGTGAAGCCGGCCGGCGTGGATGAGCTGGCGTGGCGGGAGGCACTGCAGCGCGCCGGCGGCGCCGACAACCCAGAACACCTCTGGCCGGTGCTGGCACACGGCTTCAAAGACCTGCTGGCCAGGTGGGCGCTGGGCTGGGTGGTGGGTGGGAGTGGGTGGGTGGCGGGTGGCGGGTGGGAGGGCGTGTGCCGGCGCTAGGCGGGGCGGGGCGGGGCTGGGTAGGTATGCTAGGCCCCCAGCCGGGGTCAACACAAACCAGGCAGGCTGCGCTGGGCGGTCAGCCAGGCCGGGCATTAAGTAGCCAGGCTGGGCGTCGCGCGCCGTGCCGCGCTGCCGGGCGGCCTCCCTCCTCTCCGGCCCGTGCCCTGCTGCCCACCCCAGCCGCGTCTTCACTCTGCCTCCGCGCTGCTGCGCTGCTGCTGGCGGGCCCCCGCTCGACGGCTCCCTCCCCTGACTGTCTTCCGTCCTGTCTTCCTCCTCCCGCCTTCCTTTTCTCTCGCGGCGCAGGAAGGCGGCACAGGACGCCGCCATCAAGGAGCATGGGGAGCGGCTGGAAGGGCTATCCCAGCTGGCGGCCCAGCTGGCGTCCCGTCAGCAGGCGGTACTGCGGGAGCAGCTGGAGGCGGTACAGCGGCGCCACGTGCGGCTGTGCCACCAGCTGCTGCGCGTGCTGCGCCACGTGAGTGGCCGGGCGGGGCGGCACCGCTGCCGAGTGGCGTGGGGGGCGTGCTGCTCATGAGTGGCTTGGGCGGCGCTGCCGAGCGGCTGCGGGCCCCGCCAGCTCAGTAGACCGGCAGCGTGGCGCCGCCAGCCTGTCGGCCCTTCTTCATTGCACGGCCCCTGCCGCCGCCCCCCCTCCCAACACGCGCAGGTGGATGCTCTGGAGGGGCGGTTTGCTCAGGCGGTGGGATACCGCGGCGCCAGCCCTCGGGACCTCCTGCCCCGCCTGTCGGCCCAGCTGCGGGAGATTGAGGCGGGACTGGCGCCCTCGGCGGCCAACGGCGGCGGGCTGCAAGGCATGGTGGCGGCGCTGGCGGCGGCGGCGCGGCTGCGGGCGGGCGCGCCCGGCGGCGGCGCCGTGGCGGAGCTGGAGGCGAGGGTGGACCCCGCCGCGCTGGACCAGATGTTTGGCATCCTGAGCCAGTACACGGAAGCTGTGGGGAAGCTGGGGGAGGTGCTGGGGCGGGACGAGCGCCACGTGGGCATGCTGGAGTACGCCGCGGGCGAGGGGCTGGACTAGCGGGGAACCGCCTCCCCGGCGGGAGGCTGGAGGCTAGCCTCTCTGGCAGCACATGGCCATGTCTTCTACACCAGATGGACCCTAGAATCCCCTGATCCCCGCGGGAGTCTGTGTCGCACGTTCCTTTGTGGCCATGCAGACTGTAAACACAACAAGCAAACGCAAAGCCCTGGCGGCGGCGACTCGTGTGCCGCAGTCAGGCGCCAGCTGGGCGCTGTGTTGCGCGGCCCGTGCATGACTCTCTTTGCCCTGCCACGCTCCCCGCTATGCCTGCCTGCGTAGCGCTTGGTGTAAGCTGTCGGCGAGTGGAGGGAGGCGCCTGGGCAGGCGGCGGGCCGCTGAAACGCTTAGGAGCGCCACATGTGGCTGCCTGGGGGTTCAGCGCCCTGCGCGGGTTGCCCTTGAAGTGGGAGAGTGCCATGTGTGGGCTGCAGCATGCAGGAGGCAGCCATCAGGCAGGCGTGGCTTTGCTGGGCCGCCACCGCGTATGCTCAGCATTGCAGCACTCCAATGTTCGTATACCCGGCGGCGGGCGCAGTGCCATGCGGGCGCCACCTGGGCCGCTGTGCAACCATCAGCAGGCGGCCTGCGGCTCCCCACACCCCTCGATCGCACTCTGGGGATGCACGATGGAGGAGGGGAGGTCCAAGCGCGCCATAGTGCCCCGCGGGGGGCACAAATTCAAAAGCGCGCTCGACAAACTCAAGGAGCTGAAGAAGTCGGGCGCCAAGCAGGTGGATAGCTTCGAACTGCGCGAGGAGGAGGCCATCTACGACGAGCTCGACGCCGCCGGCTATGCCAAGCTCGTGCAGAAGCGGCGGGAGGAGGGAGGTGCGCACTGCTGGGGCTCTGCGGCATGCCGGCAGCTGATCGGACCTCCGGACGGGGCGATGGCGCCGGCGATGGCGCCCGCCGCCGCTGCCGCCCCCGCTCCGCCGCCTGTCGCCACCTGCCGTCCAGCCGCCGCTGCTCTCTGCCCTGCAGGAGGCTTTGTGATCGACAAGGACGGCCTGGGATATGTGGATGTTGGCGAGGAGGATGACTGGGGCGCAGAGCAGCAGGAGGAGGAGCAGGCGGAGGGCGAGGGCGGCGGCGAGGGCAAGGGCAAGAAGGGTGCGTGCCTTCTTCCGCTCGGCCGCCGCCTGCCCCTGTCGCCCCTA